AAAGGTAGTACTGTGCTTGTAAAACAACAATAATGTATTTTTTAATGCTGTGCATAAAGGCTTCACGACTCAAATCAACCACATACAGTATCATACCCTTAAAGGCAAACATGCAAGATACAACCAAGAGCACATCTTTTTTTTTTTCTACATGTTCTTTAAGGTCAGCAGATCTGAGACCACAAGAACATTCTGTCTGGCCCTGTCTAAACCTTTGCATGACTGTTCCAAAGATAATGGTGGTTTCCACAAAGTCCATGCAGAAGGCTTTGTGTTTTTCATGTTTTCTACATATGGCAGGCAGGAGCCCAGTTATGTTCGGACCAGACAACCTCTGAGCCATACTAAGAACCATTAACTCTCCACCTCAGTCCACATGTACACTTTCAGGGCTGACATTCATCACTGAAACTGCAGTGACTTCAAAAGTAATATTCATCTTGTATTTTAAAGAAAAGAATCCTTGCCTCCCTAGTTTCATTGTACAGGTTGTGATGCCACCAAACTACACAGTACAGCACCACTGTACCTCCAATCCTCCTCTTCCATTATTCAAGGCCTGTTTTGCATTATTAACAGGTAACATTTTTTAAGAGAGCACTTTTGTTACCTAATGATTTACCTAATAGTTTTTGTACTAATGCTACAGTAACCCTGTAAAAGTGAAACAAAAAACTCCCATTACTACCATATTTTAGGTATCAAACCAGTTAAACATAGCTTCTACTTAAGATTCTGAACAAACTGCAAAATAAACAGTAGCCAACGTAGTGAAATAAAAGTAAAGAATCACTTTCTTTAATTGTTTAAAAAAAATATGTAACAGCACTAAATATAGTTATAACAAGAGTGGCAAAATGTGATACCACAAACACCTGAGCTGAAATGGTTACAAACATTCCAGTGGGATCTAAAGTCCAGAGACTCAACCAATCTGAAGGCATTTATAGCCAAAACTAGAAAGCTACCAAAAACATGTTCATCTCATAACAGAATCCAAAGACAACACACTTCACATTAAACACTAGTATTCTATAGAGTTCTATACCGTAGCTTTATCTTGAATACTAAATACTACTACAAACCACTTTAGACCATGCATGCAATCAGTTTCCAGGTGCAGCAAGGTTAAAGTGAATTGTATTTTATTACACTCCCCTACTCGAGTAAGAATGCAGTGTCAGTTGTCACTGAATTAATCCATGCTGAAAAGAGAAGAAAAGTAACACATTTCAGCTGTGTAGCCTTCTTCAGATCCAAAGCAATTACAATTATTGAATTATTGTGTACATAAATCCCTTAATAGAAAAACACACTTCACAGAAACTTTAACAAACTTACAGTAGTTATTAAATTAAAATTAAAATTAGAAATGAATTACCAAGGTATCCACTATGTCCACAGATGTACAGTATGTGTTGTAATTGTAACAAACACAGTGGTACAAATAATGCATATAGTGCAGCAGGTAACTGCCAGCTCTCTTAATTACAAATCGAGTCTTACCTGTCTGTTTTAAGAACACACATCTTAGGCGTGTAAATACTTATGTGTTCTGTGCTCAATCTCTCAACAATACAGCACCTTTGTCAAGGACATTGCTGACAGCTCACAACATTCCAAACTATCTGACTTCATCTTATCACAATTTCACCTCTGGCAATGTAAAGGCATTCATTGCATTAATGGCTCCTTGTGATTAACAGCAAGGTTGATACAACAGCCCATTGACACAACACATTAATTACATCTAACCACCATGTATGGAAATGCCATGAATGTGATTCACATAACTAAACCACCTTTTCACTTCAATACATCCCAGCTGCTCTCCCATGAGCAACGTAATTAAAGTGTCACAATTTGACAAAGTGAATGTGGAAAAAGTTCTAAGAATTTCATTCACTGCTTATGTGGAATGCAAACTTTTTTTTTTTTGCTTATGCCTCCGAGACAAAGTTTGACTGACAACCAGGGAACTTTTCCTGCTGAACATGTCAACAGCACAGGCCAATGGTGCAGTTGAAACACCTGTGTCACTTCTTCTGTACTACATGTAGGGCACAAGAAGTTTTTCTTATGCTAACTGTACTAGTCAGCATACAAGGAAACCATTCTGCTTTACCTCTTCTGTGAAGTCCTACGCTGCCATAATGTTCTGACTGACTTCAGGGTATTTGATGAACAGCAGGTTTCTAGGAAGTTTAATCAAATTCCTGCTGTACAGCAAATGATGCCACGTGCACGTTTGACAATAAGAGATAGTTACATTTACAGAGCAGAAGGTAAATATCAAGACACCACGCTAGACATGTGGAGGAGCACACTTCACCACCATGATCAAATAAAAGACAAGGCAGACCAGAAGCTCTAATCATATTCATAAACTACTTTCCATTTGGGGAAAAAATGCTGCTATGCACAGTATGCCAGAATCTAGTTCTAGAATATAGTCTAGTCCCCAGAAGTACCTACAATATATCCAATCCTGCTTTTCTTATACAGATTACACTACAGAAGGCATTCTAAAACAAAGTACTTCATGACAAACATATCACTGGAGAGGGGTAGGAACTCAAAATACAAGACAAAGAGGAGTTAAGTAACCTAAAATGTATATTTTGTTGACCAATGTGCCCAAGGAAGCTGGAATGGTCTTTGCATTACTGGTATATCCCCTGATCAAATTGATCTGGTCAAGGGACTGGTTTTCAGTAATATAGTGATAGTTTCTCTTTCTTCATTTAAGCAGTTTGCCTCTAAAAAACTGGTTTGACATATCACTATCTGACAAAAGCAGAAGAGACCTTTACCAGAGATAAAGAAAACTAAACATTAGTTCATTTTATACACACATCATGTCAAAGGCCTGGTTTCAAATAACTAACATATTCAACTACATGTTTTCATTTTTAATTGGTATTCTAAGATAAGCTATTACTAAAACACCATGTTGTGCAAAGTCATGAATTTCCTGTGGTTCTACTTATCAGAAGGATCTAGACATCTCTGAAATGCAACTTCTCAAAACTTTCAACAGCTACCAAAAAGGAAAGATGAAAGGCACAATACGAAATATGCGTCTTAAAATATACTTAAGCTACATACACATTTAAACATAAGAAAACCTAAAGCCTTTTTATCAATAACTAAAAGATCACACTCAAGACACTTCATATACTGAACTATTTATCAATACCTTCATACTGCAAAACGTTTCCAGAGTGTTGGAAAACCTTGTTACATTTGGAATATCTACAGTATGTACTGTATGTGGGAAAATTTGCAGTATATATTACATTCCGCACATTAGAATTTCCACATGACATTATTCACATTAGAAGTTGTATTAGGGTCTGCAACCAGTAAATGGAATAAGCTGTCATTCAACAGAAGCATAATTGTTGTTTCCCCGCTAAGTAACAATCTACATCAGTTAAGTAAGTGTGAAAAAAAATGTTAAAAAAATCCTAAAATAAGCTAGTCTGGTGACAAACGTTCTAAAATCTGTCTTAAACTAGGGGTTTTCCCTCTGGGGCCAACGGATGTCTGGCTAGCCTCCAAGACATTACAGGAGTCCAAAGAAAATAAACGTTTTACTCAAAAACATATTTTGTCCACATCACAGTCATACACAAATGATTTACTGCCTTTCCATGGATCTCTGTTAGATTATATTCAGTATATACAAATTGCTTATCACAGGAACATCAATGTATGCATGTATGTTTTTAGAAAAATAAAATGTAAGGTATCTAGATATCAATCATACTGTATGCTGTTTGTGTCATTTTGATTAACTGATGATTCATGACTGTGATGCTCCCAAGTTATTCTTACAGTTGCATGTAAGCACAAAATCACCTCAGCAGCAACAAGAGTTTATTTGGCAGTACCACTAGCCAACAGTATCAAAACTTTAAAACGAACCCTCACCTTTCTGATAACTGAAGCTATCTTACTTCAGTACAGTAAGGCAAAAACACTAAAGTTGGTTACCTTCCTCTAGAGCAAGATGTAAAGAACAACACTCTTACTATTCCATGTACCTTTTAAAAAATAAAACTTGAAAACAGGTTTTCTGAAAGATTTCCTGTCCCGGCCTTTCTTTTCTTAAGCCCTGAGAATTTGCAAACCTACTTCGACACTCCTTTGTTTGTAGGAGACTGTAAATAGTAAAAGGCAAGAAGTCATGTTCTGTTCCTCCACTCAGGGGTTTCCACAAAGCAATCACCTGAAATCTTACATGTAAAGACAACAGGTGCTCCGATTCCGACCATTCCTTTAATCCTGCGGCAAGAGCCACTTAAGCACGTTTTGTCCATTGAACTGACAAAAGAAAGTTCGCACCGCATGCGTGCTTTATTCTTAAATTGAATATTCGGACAACTACACTCCCTTTTAAACCAAGAAAGACTGGCAGCTTGAGGTTTTGGGGGCTGGGCAGGTTTTCCGTTCCAGTTTCAGGCCCTTAAAAGTTTAGATTTGTCTCTGTTCTGTTCCCATATATTTCTTAAAAGGCCGGACGATTATGATGCAGTACAAAAAAAGAATCGAATTTTTAGCCTAGCTGCATTAAAGTGACAAATACTACTGAGCTATGAACAGCCGCAGTATGTGTCATCGCCTATGTAGAGATTAAAACATTCTCCATAGCTATATAAAATACTGCACTGTTTATATTAAGAGATTGATAGATATAGGTGCGAATAAAATCATATGCATAAGTAAAAATCTGTTACACTACATTAGAAATTCAGACGTTTTACGATGCTTCTAAAAAACAATTAATCGCTCTTTACCGAGCTGTACACCCAAGTGCAAAATAACCACACCGTTGGCGTGCATTACCGACAGCATCTTTGCTGCAATATCAATTCTTAAAACTGTCACTGTGCTGGCAAATAAAACACCAAAGAAATCCCAGTAAGGCTAAAGGGACTGACGAAAGAGACAGCTGACAACCCCCCCTACGGTAGGAAGCAAAGGGGCACGTTTACCTGATTTTATAATTTGGTAAAGTGTGCTTCTTTTTGATGACTCGCTTCAGCTGGTTCACAATGATGGAGGTGAGCTGGGGCAGCGGTCTGCCTTCGAACTGCGACTTCACCTCGAAATCTATCAGCGGGTCTTCGAGGAACGAGAACGACCAGTGGGTGAAGGGCAAGCGGGTGAACTGCAGCCTCAGCCGCCCGACCACCCGGGTCATCTTGACGAACAGGTAGGCGGATTTTCCAAAGACAAGGTCTACGTCGATAGCCAGGTGGAACCCGCCGTTATATTCCAGATCCACCTCGAAATTAAGCTCCTCCGGCATGCCATCGTCATTGCAAGACACGGGCTTCATAAGTTTCGCTGTCTTGAAGACGGGCAACGAATTGCCCAAAGAAATGTCCCGAAGACTGAGTCCCTCTAACAGCCGCCCTGCTGTCTTGGTCAGGAGCAGTTCCTCGAACTCTACCTTGATCTTTTTGGTGACCCAGTGTCTAACCAAAGGGGTGTCTCGTAGCTCTCTGAACAGGAATAAAAATATTGCATTGAGGAAATTGCAAGTCTCGGGTTTGGAAGTGTGGGCAGAATCGTTCTGCTGCCGCGGCGGCTGTTTGGGACTACTGCTGGGAAGCGCTCCTTCCTGCTGCCTGGAAAGAGCAATGCCGTCTTGTTGTTTGGATGCCGCGTTTTCTGGCTGCTGCGGCCCAGATTCGGCATGTTTGTTAATAAAGTAATCCTTCAATGCGGGATCGGGCACTGTTTTGACATATTGCACTGTCCTAGCTGTGGGTTCGGGGCTTCTCCGGTACAATAACAAGAACTGTAACAGCAAAGTAGCAATTGCCCCCAAAAAAGCCGAAATAAATATTAAGTAAATCATCTTAACCTAGCTCGCCTTGTTGCTGTGTTCGTATTTAAAACGCCTCCATGATCCCCGAACTGCCGTGTTTAAAGAAAGCAAGTTCCACCTGGACGCTCACAAAGCTGCCATATCATCTGCTCCTTTCCTGGGAATGCAGACTCCTTCACTGATTGGGCCGACGTGCCTCGCGTCACCACAAAAGAGCCGTGCGTAGTGACGATTTCTGCTGTAGAGTGCATGACCCCGAGCTGTGGAGCTCAGTCAAGTACGGATTTGCACAGTCACAATCTGTTCCTCAGCAGTAGGATTTTATTTATCACTGTATTGGGTGACACATCGAGTTATTTACAAGAGGTGTGGGGTTCCAATTGGAGGCTGCTTGTAGTTTCCTGTAAAAACCTTGGCAGCAAGGAAACTAAAGTTTTGTTTAATATTTTCAGAAAAAAACGTCTACTGTAGAGAGAAGAATATTGGACAGTTATGCTGCTAGCAATGTAAAATGAGCAAGAGAGCCATGGGAGGGTTTTTATTAAGTGTGCGGTTTCAAAATCTCATTTTTCTAACATTGGTTGTTGTAGATCATTTAGCATTGTCTGCCATGAGAGTTTGAAATAACATGTTAAGGGAAGATAAAAGTAAGCCTTCCATCTGTGCAAGCAGAGGTTGTTCTTTAATTGTACTGATCTGGTTTTGTTTTAAAGGTAATTTGTTAAAATGCTTTGGCTTCACAACTAACGTTGTGTTTCCATTGCTGTTGTGTGGCATTCAATTGTGTTTTATTTACCAGTGCTTCCAACTGGAGCAAAAATGTTAATTAGGTTTTCTTATATTTGACTTCATAACTGCTTATGGTACACTTACAGTATGTTTCAGCACTCTAAGGGTGTTATCACAAATGTTAACCCCAATCAAAGACACTTCTGGGGTTTATGAAAAAAACAATCACAGCACATCAGTGAAATTAAGAACATCTTATTTTTTCTGACATTCATAATATGGAGGGAATTAGCAGAATTTTTACTAGGTAAAGAACAACACATTACTAAAAAAATAAAGGCTGCTCACATCATTTTAGTCACACCACTGTGTAAACTGAATGGACGTTAATGTGTGGATGAAGAGCCTGCTGTATGCAAATTTCATACTTTGCCATGCTACACCTCTACCATGTTATTGACCAAAAACGAAATGTTACAATGCACTTAAAATGATTCAAAGGGAAATAGTATGAAAGACTATAAAGCAGAAATGCCAAATGCTATTGAAACTGCCATTCCAGTACACTGTCCAGGGAATAATTATTTTTATTATCCTGCAGAGTCCTTTCACTGTTAATGCAGAAAACAAGCTGTGTCTAGTTTTGGGTCACAGATCTAGAGGGATCTCTTCTAACAGAGTAATATTTTAGCTATAGCTATGTTATATAAAATATAAACAACTTTAGCTTTCAAGTCTTTGTTCACTGGTGGGTAGAGTCAAATCGAAAACCAGGAGAGTCACTGCACAGCATTCAGCAGTCAACAATCTGCTGCTCTAACCACCCAGTTATATTTCAACAGTGATACTCTTTGTAAAGTATAGGCTAAAGGAGGCTTTTAAAAAATATTTAGTTTGGTCACACATTCTGGTGGTATCTTTGGATTCTTTTACACAGAACACCACATGACATTCTCAACTTATTTGCTGTTTGTATCTTCAGGCAGATATATCCTTTTAAACAAAACTGTTGTACTATAACTAAAATATGCAGTGTCAAAGATTGTCAACCAAGCCAATGCATATCTCCAGGGGTGCTTTAGAGATTTGTTCATTTATGATGCCTTAACTCTACCGAATCACAACACCAAGTACATAAAGTAAAATCACAAACTTTGTATGAAATAAAAGTAATAACTAAAACATTCATAAAGTTTCCACATACTGTTTGAATAATAACTATAATGATCACACAATGATAATTACATGTTGTACAGTTCTGTCTTCAGATACAGAATTTGTAATAAAAGACTTGGGTTCCATTATTAAAAAGTTTTGAAGGGGCTGCTAAGTGACTTAAGCAGCAAACATTCTCATTCACACTGTAGGCTAAGCCTTTCTATACCTACAAGATGTCCTCTTCAGCCTATCATTGTACTTGTCAAGATGTAATTTGTTAATTATTTGGTTAGACAGGAAAGGGCCATACTTCTATTGAAGTGCAATGTGTTTTGTCCAAAAAACATTCTGTGGTGACTTTATACTGAATCAACTGCAACATTTCAAGCATCTGCTGAAGAGAACCTAGAGAAATAGTATAGAAAACAGTTTAATTATGTTAAATATATTCTACACAGGAATGGTGTTCTGTCCAGGGTGTAGTCTCATTGGGTACCTGATCATGACCTAACGAGGAATAAACTGCTTTAAAGATGGAAAAATCAAATAATTTAAAAATACTGTAGGGCCCACGCAGGACTTTTTACCCATGAGCGCGCAAGGCGGGCTAGGAACATTGCCTGAGGGGTGGGACCAGTGGGACCGGACGGTATATTAGGGGGCGGGGGCTGTGACGAGGCCGCTTTCCCCTTTTCCCTCTTGTGTGAGAACGTTGTGTAAGACTGTCCGTGCAATGTCCTTGCGTGTAACCCTGTACAAGCATGTGGTCAATAAATGTGTTACCAACGCACTCTAGAGCTGTGTCGGCGTGCTCCATTCAGTACCGAACCCAGTGGTCTCCACACCTTTTAACACTGCTATGATTATTTCTGTCTTTGAGATGATAATGCTGAAAAACAGGCCATTCTTTTCATTCTGTATTTAAAGAAGCCCTCTCATACAGTAGGTGTCCACAGAAGCGTATCTACGAATATAAAAACAAACCTCAGGCTTTGTGCAATAGCAGTTATTTCATATCAGAATCTTCAGGTGTACCTCTTTGTAACAATATTACAGCGTGAGGTCTAGAACCAGGATTTCTCCCTCTCCTGTGCTGTCACATCCATCTAATTAACCAAGCTGATTTCCCTATGGTGCTGTCAGAATAAACTTTCTTAGGCTCCTTGTTCCATTCATGGGGTTTCAGAACTGCTGGTACAGACGCAGATCACTGCTGACACCTAGGAATCCTAAAAAGGTTACTCTGAACTGTTAGTTTCACCCTTGTGCACTTTACTCCAAAAGCTGTCTCTTACTTTCTCCTGCATTCACTTACATTTAACTTCACCATTTAACTTCTGCATTCACCAACATGACTTACATTGATCTCCAAGAAAAAACAAACAAGGCACCAATAATTCTGTCTTTTAATCGCTCAAAAGCAGTCGTATTTTAAATTTTAATTCTGTTTAACAGTGGGATGTAAAATCAACCAACCATACTGTTTCTGTTCTTGTCTTGTTAAATGAATGTACAGTATACCTCATTCCAGGAATAATGAAAACCTGGTTAACACCTACCCTTATACCAGAATGCACAGAGTTAGACACTCAAAATTCTCAGGCTGCTGGGAGCAATGGCTATTACCAATGCTGTTCCCAATATCAAAGCTCAGGCAAATCCCGGTATGTGAAATTGCATAATGAATAAATGCCATCATGCCTAGAGCAGTGTCTGCTTCAAGGATGGTGGTCCCACATCTGGAGGACGTAAGGTTATGAACATTTTTTCTGTTCATCTCAGTGAAAGTGCAGAGAAAACAATTATCTGCCTTGAAATACACACAGCGGAGCTTCCAAGGCATTAAAACACTCCATGTGAGGTGGCTGGTGGACCATTCACACAATACCTGGTGCCTTTCAATCTTGTTTCAAGAACATGGGGACCTACCTCAAAAAACAGCATTTAGAAAAGGCCTTTTCCTTCAGAGCCAAATACACTTAGACTTTAGGATCACACGATGGAAAAGTCCAACACCAGCAGGCTCCCGTGTTTCAAGAAAGCCATTTGCTTAAGAGCCACATGTGGGGAGGTAATGCTTCCAACCTGGTGAATTGATTAATGTGGAAAGATTGCACATGCCTCATTAATTCATAATTCCCCGAGGAACAGGCACTGATGTGGTGTAACAAAGGTGACTGGATTTCCCATACGATGACACAGACCATGCCGATACCTAATAATGCTAATAGCTAATACCATAATGGATTGGGCTAGCTATTACCATAATGGTATGTAGTGAGGTAGGCAAGCCCACATAATGTCCATCCATTCATAAGCAGAAAATCTCTTATTTCTACTGAGGGACACAACAACAGAACAGGCAACAGGGTGTGACACACATATGTTGATTTGTAAATTTACATATCATAGAACATAAAGATTATACTCATTCAGTCTCACCAGTCTGTTGAAATGAAGTCTATGCAGAAAAGGAAAGGTATGTGCTTGGCATGTATGGAGCGTGGGATAAATAGCACTTACTGTATAAGAAGGGGGGAACACAGGTATTACAAACGTCTATTATATTCTTTTTAGTTGTATATGTACCTTGGAGTGGAAAGACTATCAGAAATTATTAAGCTCCTGGGGACTCTTTCATTTCCAGTGTTGTATCATACAAAACTGCCTCGTTGTACTGATGCCAATATGCTATTTTATTAACACAGCTTGGGGGAAATTGTGCATGTTCCAGCTGAGGCTCTGAAATATACATCCTTCCTACAGTGAAGACACAAAGTAGTTGTTTGATTTTGTGACCTCTTTATATAAGTTATATGCCACTGTATGATATGTTAATGAATGATTAGTAAAGTAATAACAACGAATCAAATGAAATTTGAAACTTGAGTTCCCAGGTGGTTATATCAAGGACCCATTTGAAATATCTTTTTTTTTTCAGTACAACATAGGTTAGCTGGGCTTGCATTTGACAGTTACTCACGTAAAAGGGAATCCTTTGGCTTGCCAGGTACGCAAAGTCAAGTGAAAGAATTTTATGTCTTACCTGCAATGCTCCAGTTTTCATGCAAGTGCTTTGGGCTTGGAAAGCAAGTAAGAACCAGATTGGCTGACAAACACATATTTCTGAGGATGTCCTCATCCTCGTACACTAGTTACTAAGAATATAATAATGATAATGAACAAGCAGAGAGCATTTGGCACATCTGAATCATGTTTTTAGTTAGTCACTACAGTAATTGATCCAAGGATCTCAGCCCTTTGTTTCTGAAGGAAGCCAGGGTATCGGCTTCAACAGCATGGCTGGATAGCTTATACTGTGC